CCAAATTGTGATTCATTGTAGATGCAGTGTACGTGATATGAAATGTTTGATTTATGAATCCGTCAATTAAAATCTTCACCCTTTGGTTTTCCAAAGTATGTGTACTTTGTTTCTGGCTCATTCCTCGGCTACGACGTCATTGTTGGCAGAGGAGATTTGTCTTTGGACCCTGATTGGCCCTCGCTTTCAAGGTACTGCTATAATGATAGTTATTAAGCAACCCCTGTCTTAAATAATCAACGTTCTGACAAAGAATCTCTCCTGCACAAGCCAAGCGTGACAGCTTCCAGTGCTATTTGCAGTGGAGCACTACTTTATGCTAAGAGACTCTCATCTGAAAACATCAAAGTTCTATATTAAAGGGCACAAGTGAAACAAATGAACAAGTGAATCAAGTGCACAAATAAAATATCTACTCCAGATTACAACTTGTAGGGTCTGCAAGGCAACTCACACCAGCAGCTTCAGAAACAGACATTGCTACAAGAGATTCTCTACTCTAGCAGACTGCTACTTCAATGCTCGTTTTCAATGCATGCAGAAAGACACAGTAAAGCTACCACCTGCAGTTCCACAACCTTTGAACAAGCAGAGGCATAAACACTTGGGACCTTGGCAGTGATGCCCTGGTGTTTATAGGAAAAACACCGCGAAGCAGTTCATTAATGCTCCTATGATCCCGTGAGGCCTGTGGAAGCTTTGACTTGTAACTGCTGTGTGCGATTGTTGTCAGTTTCTGCCTCTCTTAGGAAGTGCATGGTTTAATTTGACATACAATTAAACCATGCACTTGGAGCAAATTGGAGACATGTGGCACAGGATTTACAAGAAAATTCAATTGATTCAAATCATAAAATAATAAAAGAATCAGTGAATGCCCTGCGATAGATTGGCGACCTGTCCAGGGTGTACCCCGCCTTTCGTCCGATGTCAGCTGGGATTGGCTCCAGCCCCCTGCGAAATTGCTGGTTCTAGCTTCTCAGAAGAGTGGACATTTCCTGATTTTTTCGATGTAATTATGCTGATGTTGTATGTTTCAGGTTGATGGCGGTTGAAGCCATTTGAATATGTCATCTTGGCCTCTGTACATTTATAAGGAATTATATTATTACATATTATTGACATTTAACAATTCATTAATAAAGTTAGTAAGTCATTGATAAGTTCTCATTGATTTCTTACTTTCTAATAAGCCATCAGCAAAGGTTAGTGAGTCATTAGCAATTTTACATTCTATCAAGTCATTAATAAAGGGTTCTTAAATTAAGTTTTTATTAAATAGATTTAGGCCCAGAGGATCCGCTGCTCTATCGATCCAGTTGAATCAAGCCAATCAAATGATCCATTGGAGAGGTCTTCCTGAGGAATAGAGGAGAAGCTAGCTAACAAGCAAAAGCAAGAGTGATGCTGGAGGAGGATTAACACACATTAACAGCTTTCAAATTATATTGCATGATCATTGTCAGGAGAGTTTGCCTAGTTGTCATGGAATTGTAGATAAAATTGAAAGGTCACCGTGGCACTTATGACATTTCCCTGGTAGTTACCACAGCATGTGGGTACCAGTAGCTCCAGGGTAAGATACCATGGCACTTCAGGTGGCACTGTGGGTATGAAAAGACAATTACTATGATACCTCTAAAGGTAATATTACCCAAAGTACTCATAAAGTAGGTATAGTAGGTAAGTATAAGTAAAACAGAGGAGCCCAATTAAATGTAATTTCATTCTGATATTGAATGGTCAATACTTTTACAATTGTTGTACATATTATAGATAAAATACAGACATTTAATCAAAAATGCAACTTTACATTAACTAGTACATCACTTGAGAAAATATTGCTTTCACTTTCTGATAAGAAATCCTCTGGGTATCTCTGGTATCTTATTCATATCTAGTTGTTGAAATCTGCAGCCCCATATATCACTAGACCTGTAAAGTACCTAATTGATTTTCTTGACTTTCTTTGCAACAAGGAAAGAATGGAAAACATTAAAAATGCTATTAATTGGATGAATTCCTATTTAAATGGTCTATCAGTCTATCGATGTTAATGGCTCCTTTTCTTACCCATTACCTGACATTCCACAAGGGACTTGCCTCGGACCATTGTTGTTTATTGTATATGCATATCGTCTTCCTTTATCGTTACTCTTAAATGCACATATGTTTGTGGATGATACAACAATCACTGGAGTAGCAAAAATATATGATTATATATGTAGGCCTACTGCAAGAAAGAGGAAGAAAATCAAAGAGGGTGCGGAAGTTAAATTTTTGGGAACTAAAATACAAAATAATCTCTCATGGCTGGCATATTACAGATCTTTCTAAAAGAGTGATGAAAATGGCAGGGTGGTTGGATGAACTGCAAAGTTTTATCTAAAGCCAGTCTTAAGGTAAGCTCTCATAGTTTAATTTACTGGCACATTTTTATTGCTGTGCAGTTTGGGGCAACGCAGCTCAGCAAGACATGAGGAGACTGCGTATCATACTAAACAAGGCAGCAAGAATGCTCCTAGTTTGTGGGTTTGAAAAAGGAGCGAGTGAACGACATATTATAATGGGATGGCCCACAATAGTAGAGCATGTGAGATGTCTGTGAAGATTACAAGTCATCTAGGTCATAGTTATCCCAAGAAAGTTAAATCAAGGGCACTTGGAGTTAGTTGAAGATCCTTGAAGATATTTTGCCTCTCACGCAAGAGGCAGAGAGTCCCAGCTATTAAGCCTATTTGGGGTCGTTATCAAGGTGATGGATACCGCTCGGTTCGTTAGTGCTCCTGGATGTTGTAACGACAGTGCTTATTGTTGTTGGAGTCACCTGAGGCCAAGTCTGAACGGCCGTCTTGGCATTCTCACATGAGGCCCAATGAGAGTGTTTGTTCAGTTTCCAGGGAAGGGATGAAAGGACAGCATTGTAAGCGGGGGATAAGTGGTGTCTCAAGCGGCCTCCCCTGTTGAGCAATGGTTTCTCTACTCTGGTGTATATGGCTTCTTTTACTCCTCTTTCAAACCATCTGTCTTTCCTGTCCAGAATATGGACATTGTTGTCCTCAAAAGAGTGTCCCTTATCCTTCAGGTGTAAGTAATCTGCTGAGTCTTGATCTGAGGAGTTGGCCCTTTTGTGTTGAGTCATGCATTTGTATAGTGTAGTTTTAGTTTCCCCCAATATACAGGCCTGTGCATTCACTCATGCACTGGACAGCATACACTAGATCAACAATTAACCAGCCAGATATTTTTCACAACAACAAACATTATTTTACATAATTGCCTACAACAGAACTATAAAGCATTTGTAAATTAAAATAATATTAGTGAGGCCTTTATGAAGGATGCGAAGGAAGTGGAACAAACATTACAGATAAACAAAGTTGTTAGTGAAAAGAAGGGGTTGTCATAAGATAGATAAAAAAAAATGTTAATAGATATTAAGATAACATATTTAGAATCAGTTCTGTTTTGTGTCTAATTCATGTTGACAGAATTATTTGGAAGCCAAATCGTTAGAGATGTGCAAAGAAAAGTGAAGCATGTAACAAGCCAGTGTTCTGTGAGACGCTAATGTTGTTGAGTTCTCAGTGACAGAGCCTTGGTGTTAATCTAACCAAGGCTGTTTGGCCAGCTGCCTTTTGAAAGCATCACTCTATTGAGGCAAAGTTTAGCCGAGGAATGTTTTGTGACGATTATTCCGGGAGTTAAGACCTTTTCTATTCCTCAGATTGAAATCCTTCTTGACATCATCCCCTCGCAATTGTAAAGCCCCCTCCCCGCTTTCGTCCCCATTTGCCATTTCACAAAATAAATAGCATCCAAATTTCATCTGGGTTTTGCATGGTTACCATTTTGTTAATGGGCAGTCTGGCCTCTCGATGAGACGAGGAGCATTTTTGGGGGCACACTGTGGTTGTTGTAGCAACGTTGTTGAGGAGTGAATGAAGCAGATGTCAGAGTAATCCATCAGCCGGCAGCTCCACCCTCCCACTGCTCGCTGAGGAACACACTGCTGTGACACCCTCTGCACCGCAATCCTCAATAACGCCTTCTTCACTCTGATCTGTCCTCATAACAAGACTTGGAAAATGTGCATTAAATACAAAATGACCTCCATCTATTAATTCTGAGACAACATTTATTAACCAAAGTCGAATGAAAAGAGAATGTGTTTTACATTGAATAAGCAAACAATGACCTCTGATTTAGGAGCAAGTTGGGTGATATAAATTCACCAGTTCAGTCAAGACAAGAACAACCTTTAATGAGGACTGAGTCTGTATTGACTGGCACTAGAAACACTCTTTATAATGCCAAAAAAGATAACTATGAAAAACTGCATGGTTTCTGTTACCATAACATCCTGTGATGAAGGCAGGTTCCAGTTCTATCTGTAATCAACCTGTCATGATACTGTTCTGTCATGACTGGCTACTAGTTACTCCCTGTTAAGGTACCTCTGATTGTTTTATATTAAGTATTAGGGCTGGATATCAAACCTTCATACTTGCTGAATATGAAATGTGCCCGTAGAACATTTGAAGTATCAAAAACTTTCAAGTATCAAACATTTGGATTCAATGCTTAGTCTGGATTCTTTATCTTGTTTATTTATCCTTCTTCTTATTAGATATTTCATGAAAAATCAAAACTTTAATTCTATTTAACTGTATTATTATTATTTATTTTGTTTTTGTATTGGTACACAAATCTGAAATATTTTTAAGCAATATCAAAAAAGGTGTAGGAGTTAAGGAGCCGACCGTGAACCCCAACATCCCCAGTTCACGTCCGTTCAGGGGCCCAATCCATCTCTCCCCTCATGTCCCATCTCTCTATGTTTGACTGTCCAATAAAATGCAAAACCTTTTTTATATACAATACCCAGCCCTAGTTGGTGTTAGTGAGAGACTTAACAAAGAGCACAAAGAGCACATACAGCTTACCTGTGGATCACGGTCCAAAGTATGTCATGTGGTTCAATCATATGTGTAGACTGATTTAAAAAGGATGGAGATTTTTTAATCTAATATTTATGTTGCAATATTTACACTTTTAGCAGCTTTTAATGAACACCAGTGAAGACCTTTGTGGGTTAAACTGTATCTCAACAGAAGAGGACAGGTGAGAGGCTGTCATGGCTAAAACAATAGCAATAGCATGAGATTACAGCTAAAAAGAAGGAAAGCTGACAAACAGACATCATAAATAAGGGGAAAGCAACATGATTACGCATTTCTGGCAATACAAATAAAAAATTCATAGTAGCTGTTATAGTAGTAGTATGCTAACAAATTTTACCTTTTTTTAAATACAAAGAGAAAGAAACTGTGAGAAACTCTCAGAGATAGCACTGAGTCATAGAAGCTAACATTTGTGGACCAGCAGCTAGCCTGGGTGTGATGTCAGGAACCAAGGCAAGGTGAGACAGTGTTTCCTGAAATGGGTTACAAATCACAATGCTGCACATTTAAGTATAACATAATTATATTCTGCTGCTGAGGAAAAGGCACATTTTAAGCACAGTAACTGAACAGTTAGAAATGCTAAGGGGAAATATCTCACATAGACAGAAAATAAATAAAAAAAACTTTATATAAAAATAATCTCTTACAAAATATATTCTATCAGCCAACATTAAGGGGAATTTATGTCTGGAAGCTCGCATTTTCTTGTGGTGGTGTCAATATGAGGAAGAGTCAATAAGGCCGCTCAGTCGCATAACTTTCCAGACAACTAGCAGCAAAATGTAGGGGAAGGGGGACAGAAACAAGTACCGAGCCCAGGATCAGTAGTTTACTGCTAGGCTTAATGCAAATAAGCTGCAGGGTCCCAAACATGTCATTCAGTCGAGTACAGTTCTGTTTTTAGCTCCAGTGTGTAATTTGTCTTGTAAAAAAAACAAAGAAACTATTCCTTTTGCTTTTAAGTGCACTTGAATATTATTAAACTAAAATCCCAGGCATCTACACCAACTTACAACTTTACCACATTTAGGTAACAACAAATTTTCTAAATCATCAGTAGTTTTCTCACTGAATAAATTATTAGTCAATAAAAATAAAAACAAACCCATCACTGTTGGGGTGAGCCATGCCAGTACAGCCTTACGGCCTGCAGAGAAGTCACACCTGGGGCGTGAAGTGGCATTCCAATCAAAAGTAAAAATACAATTTGAGAGCCCATAGTTTGAATCCAGTGTCACGGCAGATGTCCATTGGCATCAGAGTAATCAACACACGCTGGAGGAACCAGCTGTCGTGATCGTGGCCAGACAAGAAGTCCGTCACTCCGCAGGTGTGCATCAGCCACAGAGAAGCCTTATTCTGAAATACATTAACATTCACATGCAGTCCAGTCTAGCTGTGCGCCTAAATACACATCCAATAAATATTTCTATTTACAGGTATACACCTCTGTCCTCTCACTGCAGGTGTTGCATTTGACATAGCAGCACCACAGGAACTTGCAGTTACACTGCCAAACACGAGAGTACTGGTGTGTGTTATATCCTCGACCGCAACACATCAGGTCACAGCTGTTGGGCTGCAGAGCCGTTTTGTTGCACAGGCGTCCCTGTGTTCCCATACTGCCGGTCAGAGGGTCAGCCTCGCAGTAGTTGGGCGACCTCTCGATGTAGACCAGCTCTGTGTCCATGGGTTTGCGGTAGGAGTGGGGTTTCTTGATCTTTAGGAAGGTGGGGCGCTTGTTGCGGCTGGCCCGTACCGGCTCCACGTGCACAGCCTGGTTGTACTTGTCCCTGAGGATGTATCCCAGCTGGCGGAACTTGGGCAGCGTCGTCCAGCATGTCTTGGTGGTGCAGGATCCCGACACACCGTGACACTTGCACTCCAGCCGCATGCCCTTTTCTAGCATCTGCAACACGGAGGAAAAGTTCACATGAAGCGAGTTGCAACTGCCCGACTGAAATCCAGTCGCATTTACTTATTTCATTTCCTTTACCAGTGCTTTGCCTAATAAACTGAGTAGTTCCACTATCATAAGATAAAAGATCTAACATACACTGTTTCAGTTTGTTTGTTGCTCTCCTTCCATAATGAGCAAATAAAGAAACATATGAGTTCACAGCAATACTCAGTCAACATATTGCATGAATAGTTCAACAGGTTGAGACAAAAGTTTTCTAGCATTCCAGAGAGCTCAGAGCTGCTACAGTATGTCACCATATGGCTAGTAGCTATGTGTGTGCCATCCGTTTTACAAGACAGGATGAGCCTCAAAACACACTCATGCAAGAAACAAACTCATACACAAGCGTGGAAACCCAAATGCAGTTATAAGCAATACACATATTCAAAAGCTCTGAAACTGAAGGGTACATTTTGGGAGGTATCTTACATCAATACAATACTTACGTCAAAACAAGCAGTCAATGAGAGCATGTGGCAGATTTTCAAAGGGGATTATTTAGGTAATTATAAAAGTAAACTTAACGGACAAGCTTAAAAATGCTTCGGAGGCATCGTCATTTCAGAAAACATGTCCCTCATGATGTCATAGTGATGTCATCAGGGTTATCTCAGCGTGTGCTTGGAGAATATTGTTTTAAAGGAAAGCCTGTGTTCTGCAATGGGGTTGCGGGAGATGAGAATTAAAAACACTGTTGAGTTCCATTATGGGAAATGTAGTCCAGGGTTTTCTAGCACCTTATTTTTGATTGTTTTTCAACTAAAAATATCTGGGTTGTATTCAAAGCAGCACATGGATTCTATTAGATTTTCATCAAAACATTTTTTTGTGCTGCAAAAATACAATTTTCAGTAAATGTCCTCCTTTAGAGAAAAGCACAGCCCAGTAAATGTTTTCAGTATGAAAAACTGGGAAAATCAACTCAATTAAAAAGTCAATAATAATAATTTTTTTTAAATCCAATGTTTTTCCTGACTTTGGCATTAGCCCTATTTTTCTAACCTGATTTTGACAATTAAAATAAACGTTGATAATAAAAAAGAATCAAAATTCAACAGCCCTTAATAATGTTCAGGTCTGCAAACCTTCATGCATGTTTTGTCCTCTGCCTCAACAGAGTTTGAATAAAATTCATCTGTATGTAGATGATGAATTCAGACAGAAGCTGGTTTAATTTACGAGTTAGACTTGTGGTGACTACTGGTCTCATTTACAGTGGGCAGACTGGTGAAAGACCTTTTCAGGGCTGGAGTGGAACCTTTTGGTGTGTTTGGCAAAGCAGCCGGGGTATTCTCTGTGTGCCTCAGGCTGAATGACATCAGCATACCCTCCTTCCTCCTCACTGAGTGGGAACCCTCGCTGGCATTAGAGAAGCCTCACTCTGCTTTTTAATTATTCCACTCTGATGTGGCCTCAGACTTTCTGGAGTCTCGTGGGGTAATTGTCAAAAGCCTTGGAAGCATACAGCTTAGCGTGGTCATGCCCTCGAGACCTGACAAACATTTAATTCATGGAGTTCTGTGAAGTGAATTGCCAACGAAGCTGCCATTGTTTGTCTAACAGAAGTCCTGTAAGCCTCCTGTGGCACCTTTTACACTATTGTTTATTCTTCTCAAGAAATTTGAAGGCTGGCACTCAAAACACACACTGACATCATCTCCAATTTAACATGAAAGCCTCACTACAATAATTACAGAGGTGTCAGTTTAGTAAGCGTATATTAAGAGATTCACATACTGTATCACATTCTGACGCCTGTTCTGATGCCAGACCTCAAACATGAAGCCTAGTCCAGAGACATGAAAGTACTCTTTCCTCCTGAATGGGACCACAACCTGTCACTATGACACTGGACGGAAATCTCTTCAAGATAAGTCACTTTTCAGCTTCTCGGTCTTTTACATGCCCTCTAAATATACATTTGCATGTATATTGCTCTAATAAATAGTAGTGCATATTAATAAATTATTAAGATATTTTAATATAAAATATTGGAGATATTGTTTGCTCTCGCAAACAGAAAACATCTGAAACATCTAGCATTACAATGGGCTTTGCAGGTACTGATAGTTCTATTTTTCCTGCATGAAAATCACACTTCCAGCATCAGCTTACACAGGATAAAACCATGATGGGGGTCAACAGATGTACTCTCATTACTCTGCAATGATATATGAAGGAACAGATGATGCAATAAGGTGGACTACTAATTCTCAAGAGCACTGCTTCAATGACCCAGTTAACTGTTCAAATTGGAGCAAACGGTTGAGAATGGTCATTTCCCGGAGCCTAAGGTACTGTCTTTAGACGGATTGTTTTGTCCGACCAGAGCCTCTTTATGCTAAGCTAAGCTAACTGGCTGCTGGCAGTAGCTTTATATTTTCTGTACAGACACGAGTGCTTTCAGAAGCCATGTTAGTAATCTACGTCTACATAATTTAATGTTCAGGGCACGTGATCTCCAGATCCGTTTGCATTAACCTTTAAAATCTCACTCCAGTCGTAACACTTTGTGTTTTCAAGAATAAGCGCCGTATTATTAGTTTACCTCAGACTTTCCCTGATCTATCACGTGTCTGCTGAGGCTTTTCCAGCAGAGTGCTTTCCTGTGGGGCCATTTTGTGGATGTCCTGCAGTTTCTATTGATCTGTCATTTGGCTCCCTACGTCTGTCCACTGGTAAACATCAGAGTCTGGCTAATGCACTCTCTCAGATGGTCATGGTCACTGTGCATCTTGTCTGACAGTTACCTCTTGACCCTACATTACTTGTGTTCAGGATCTGACCATACTTTGTCTTCAGGGGCTCCTGATTAGACTTTATTTCTCACCATGCATGAGCTCCCACGCGTCCTGGTGATGGACTCTCTCACTTTGTCATTTGTAACAATCTCACACCCTTCCAAAATCCTGCCCACCAGCTCATCAACAAACCATGTGTAAAACTTGCATATTTACCAAGGCCTCATAAGCGAAAAATATGTTTTTCCGATTTATATGTTGTCCTGTTTAATTACTCTCTATGACCAGTCCAATCCGATCGGCTGGATGTGGTATGACCGATCCATTTGTTAATGGCACTATAAGATTCAGTTTAAATCATTCGGTCATGGCTCTTGTCTTTAGCACCACGGCATCCCTTTACATGCGTGGGATCAGGTTTATGTAAAAGGGAGTCCCATGCAGTGAGGTATAGAGGGTATGCATTGATGTCACTTCCCCTTCCAGAACACGCTGGACTGAGTGGCCAAACATCTGTTACCATGGCTGCGTTTAGCAAATCGGGAGTAAAACAAGTGATTATTTGCTCAAATTAAGGCAGTTGGACTTGAAGAACCAGCGGTCCAGCTCTTCCCCATTTTAGATGTGTTGTCTGTGTTTTAGTTGATTCAAACTAACACTGCTGCTCGTCTTTCTGCCACTCAGTGAGCGTAACTGCGTTCTGTGACGTCATGCGCATACCCTCTATACGGATTTGACTTTTTAAACAGAAACCTTTTGCATTGTAGACTGCTTACAGGCTTGCATAAGGACAGATATAGCATGCACTCCTTCAGCAGGCAGTATGGTAGTGATGGAAGTCAAGTGGGTTAGAGTTAGCAGATTAATGCGTGGGCCTTTTGTAGAGGCTAAGTCATTATTTCATTTATTCACTCATGCTTAATATTTTGTCACCTGGTGCGTAAATCGTACTGTTTCTAAGCCTCTACGGTAAATTTCTTATTGTCTGGTGATTATTGTGTAATTTGCAACAAAGTGGATTTTGGATTGACAGAATAACAAAACATACCTTGCGCCCCACTTCATTGTTATGTAAATTCATGAGAGTCCTGGCATTCTGCTTGATCTCCCGCGCGTCCACAAACACCTTAGAGAACCCCAGGCCGTAGTGGACATCTGCAGAGCAGCCACCCCACTTCCAGCCCTCCTCCTGGTTGTAGAGGCCCTGTTTCTCCTTGTCGCAGCCACAGCCGCTCAGGCTCCCCTGGGTGCAGGCCGCAGTGACTGCATGGGCGACCCCAGCAGCGATGATCGCATAGGTGAACGCAGCCTCCTTACTGCCTACGAGTAAGAGAAAAGACATTTTTAATCACAATTGCCAACAACAGGATTCACTATTTCAGGCACTGTCAAGCCTCCTTACATACCTGGCATAGCTACCTCAGACCAAATCATAAAATACACGAGCCAAGCCAAGTGCAATTCATTAATCAAGCTCTCTTAAAACAGATAGGACAGATATTCAGGAGGAAGCATTGAATCTTGCACAAAATATAGTGGAGCAGTTTGAAATAAAAAAACAGAAAAGCTGTGCAGAAGGAAACTAATTCTAGGGAAGCGCGACAGTTTTATTGTCTTTATGATGAGTTATTATCAAAGGACCTGCAGGATTCTGACTAGTCTGCAAATCTATAATTAAACAAATCCACCAAATAGTAGTCAATCTTACTACATATGATTGGTAAAGATTCCCATTCAGTGGGAGATAAAACATTAAATGCTTAGGCATCATTTTTGGCCCTCGTCCCAGTTGCCGTCACACCGGGATCCGCCCTGTGGAGGTGAATCTGAGAGGCATGCAGAGCCTCCCTACGTGGATGAATTTCCACATCATAAATCCAAGTGCTTCAGGTCAACTGCATTTTTTAATTAAAATGAAGATAATTCCTGTTGGAGCACATGTGGAAAGTATCCAAACATGAGCATAAGTTGCACAAATGCTGCAATAAATCTTCATCTTTAACAATTAAACTGCCATCCAAACTTTTCAGGTCATAGTTCTCATTCAAACACTGAAATGTTTGTGCAACTTTTGAGCTTTGCTGGAACAAGAGGATGTGATTCTTTGCTGTCATGCTCGCGTTCACTTTTCGTTAAAAAGACGATATCGAAGGGCAAAGTAGACACACAGAAGCATCCAGGCATTAAACCTGAGATCCTGAACTAACTCTCTGATCTGCCTTTACAGCCAGTAACGAAGCAGCCTGTGCCCACAGTCAGTTACTTCAGGGATCCGACCTGGTGGGTGGAGAAGTCCTAATACCAACATACTGTACATTGCTGCCTCACTGCCAACAACAATCCTAAATTGATGTATTCTGTCAGTTATCAGTGTTCCAGTCTGCTGAAACAAAACAATGCATTCAGACCGACTCTGTGCAGGGCAGCTGGACCCGGGCAGCGCTTGAGCCGACCGGCTGTATCCTGGAACTCAGCCTAATTCTCATCTAAATTTGGGTAAAATCTGGTTACTGCAATGCTGAAATTAGTTTAGTTTCAATATGATGATATGCATCAAAAGTGTGGTTCATTCCTGAAGCAGTGGTCTCAAATCATTCTACACAAAACGTCGCCTGCCAACGCTGCAGAACCTGGAGGTATATTTGTAAACCTAGAAGAAAGTACTTGTCTGAACTTGAAGCTTTTGGGGGGAAAGTATTTTATGAACATACATGAAGGTGGTTTAGCTGAGAGTAGCTAAAGAGCATGTAGGTCTGCATGTAACAAGCTATGAAACAGAGACAGAAGGTTGGAAACGCAAACAGTTAGTATAGTATAGTATTAGTATGTGTTCACGATAGAACACTGAAATGATCTGATAAACGATGCCACCGTATCCATTGCAATAGGAGGTCACCTAATGAATTCTAAGGCAGAAAGCGTGACTCAGTTTATATTGACCTATAAGGCAAAGGCCCATTCATTCACACATTCAGACAAAATATGTATTCTACAGGCTGGTGAAGCACGCTGGGTTGGAAGACTCATTCAGACTGCACTCATATTTGTTGCAGCTAATACTACAACCATCTCAGGCAATACAATTCAAAATAAAGCTGTCTTGTACAATGCAGCAATCAGCATAAATTAAAGGCTCAAACAAGATGTGAGCTATAATCCTTCATGACACTTGAAGTGAAAAATGGCATCCAAGCTCTGCGTCTGTCTCTGAGATGACAGGGTGAACTTAAAGGATAAGACGGTGGAATACCAGCGTGTTAATAATGATTCTGCTCTTATTTCCGCAGTCCTGTCTTTGGAGCAAGCATCGCCTCGAGCCTTATTCCACATGCAGGATAAAATCTGTGCCTTATTTTCCCACCATGAGTAGATGCACTGAATCTGAGCTTCAGACATTTGTCAAAGTGTCAGAGGTCGAGTACTTCAGAGGAATGCCTTTTTGGACTATTCTTGGACAAATTATAGCAGCTTTCAAAACTTCCTATACTTGTTCAGACAGTGCAAACATACATACAACTCAATAAAGCTGAAAACTGAATCTGTGTGCAAGCAGCACACAATTATCAAGCTGCTAGTGTACTCTAATGCAGGAATTTAAAATTATTTCCCAGTAATAACTATTTTATTAGTTAAGAACAGTCTTGTAAGCACTGTACCTTTGACGATCAAGCCATGCTGACGTCTTTCAACAATGTCTTTTATGGCACATTGGAAGAAAAACTCAATGATGAAGTGGAGCTCTCAGTGTAATAAGCATTTAATAGCTTTCTTACCTTCAAAAACAACAACAAAAATAATTATAACTCTGCGGTAACACTTACATTTATACTCAACTGCACTGTAATTGTATAGACAGCTAAAAGGACTATTAGTCTGCATATCCAAGTACAATAATTTTAAATCCATCACAGACCCAGTAGAATTATGTAGGAAAATAGCACTAATTCAATCTGACATATAAACCCTGGATTTGCTCAAAGAGCCAATAAATTAAATGAGTAAATATGTACAGTCGTTTCCTTGGTGCACAGCTTTTCAAATGAAATCAAAGGGCTACATACCCACTCTGAGCTCTTTCCCAAACACGGTCCTCTCTCCCAGGGCCGAGCAGTTCCAGCGTCCATGTCTGAACTGAAACTGGCACTCATTGATCCCCATCTGAACCCCCTCTCCGATCACTATGATCGCGTCGGGTCGGCTCTGACAGATAGTCCTCTGACGGGGGGCCAAGCCGGGGATTTTATTACAGATGATGCTCGCTCCAAGTGCAACCACCGATGACAGACCCCTGCGGTGAAGGTAAGAGGTTAAATGCGGCATTTCCCTATGGAAGTTCTGCACGTGTTTTCAGACAGAAAGCTTTATAAAACAGACACTGTTCTGACTTATCACACATGTAGGCTCATTCCTTGATCTTCCCCCAAATGAATGTAATTAAAGGTTCATAACTTTAACTATACAAAACTTGCAGGGGAAACACAGCCAGTAAGGACCCCAGACCTGACTTTGGGGATCCTTTCATTTTTCTACATTCCTGAGGAGCCTGTCATAGGTGGAATATTCTTAAAATCAGCAACATTTTTCTTGCATTCGTTTTAAAATCTTAACTGAGTGAAAGACAACCTGCAGGGCATCCCAATAACTCACCCGATTTTCAAATATACTACTCCAAGGCACAGGAAGAAATGGAAAATCCAGCGCCGTGTCTTCCTACTCATGGTGCTCAGCCCAGCCGATGGATTAATGCTCTGCTGTCGCAACAACCAGCCTTATTTCTCTATCGAGTCCCGCAGGGTGTGCAGGTGTTCCGGGCTGCAGACGTAAATAATGCTCCTCGGGAGAAACCAAAGTTTGTGGAAATGAACTCGTCCTGATTTCATTTGGTAGGTGTCCGGCGGTGTGCGCCTGTGCTGTAGCATTGGGACTGTTGTTTTCAGGTAGAGCGGGTCCTCAGTGATCAGGCGGAGTGTGTGTGTGTGTGTGTGTGTGTGTGTCTGTGGAATATCTACCTTTTCTATCAGGGCGTGTTCTGCGGAGGATCTGCCTCCGAGCCGCGCACGCTCTCTCAGCCTGCAGGTACAGGCTCAGCTCATCCGTCTCTCCATCTGACACGCGCTCACAGCTGCAGACCTGGGTACGGCTGAGACCGGGAGCCAGACAGAACCTCAGCTCTTCACACTTGTTTCACGTGCCGTCCTCACCCGGACACTGGACATCACCCGCGCGTTTTATTTAGAAAAATAAACGCCCCTCCCACCGATGCAGTGTTATCTTGGACACGTTTCATGGGCTGCGAGTTGCGCTTCATCTCAAAACCAATGAACTGTAGGTGGAGAGGGGCTATAAGCACTGAATTCAACTTGTACCTTACTTAAGTATTTACATTTTATGCATTCCAGAGAAAAATATTGAACATGTTACTGCACTACATTTACCTGACTACTACTGCTTAGAACAGAATAACCTTTTTTCAACAGCCATCTTATAAAATGTGATCTGACACAAACAGCCGACACGATATAGTTGTTTAAATTTGCTCTACCAGCTACATTAAAATGCTACTTATATGGTAAAACTGTAACTTAATGACAAATAATTCCGTTTTCAAGCCCCTTGGAAGGTGATGGCACGTGCAAACTATGAAGGCCAGCCATTACGCATGAGTATTTTTACTAAGTATCTATACTTCTGTATTTTCACTCAGTAAATTGTTAAATTATCATTTGTGGTATTGCTACTCAAGTAAATTATTTGAGTACTTCTTCCAGCACTAACATCTTCTTATTTTCCATGTCTGCTTTCAAGAAGCTAGTGGACAGGTTGTTTGCCAAACACCAGTAATTTAAAGACGATTTAAACATCGATTTAGATTGGAAAATACCAACTTCATCAACGGAGAAGAAAGCAGAAAAACAGTACAAACAGGCCAAGAAACTGAATTTAAGCTATAGAATGGCATTCCAAAGCACAGTCAGTCTGACCATATAACAAAATAACATAAGCAACAACAGGAATAATATAACATGTAAGAGCAACAGTCAGGATAGTTAGCATCCCAGTATTTGTTGGCTGACTCAGACTTCATGATGGTCTTCAGTACAGGAAGATGGTTTGACTTATAGGACTGTTACACCATCTGCTGACACAACTGTGTTACTACTGATCATGTTCAAAAATGCAGGGCAGAATGAACCAGTTTGGTGAACGTGGCTCAATAAATAATAAAGGTGTTGTTGTGGTGGGTGGTGATGGCGCAGTGGAAAAGATGCCTGCCTTTGGTGTGAGAAACCCAGGTTCAATCCCCCACTGGGACCCATCCACTGTTGTGTCCCTGAGCAAGACACTTAACCCCTAGTTGCTCCAGAGGCGTGCGACCTCTGACATGTACAGCAATTGTAAGTCGCTTTGGATAAAAGCGTCAGCTAAATGAATAAATGTGTTGTAAATCAATTTTAACAGAGGGCCTCATGAATATAGAACTATGCAAGACGGTTGATACTGTACATGAGTCTGGTGTCTAATCTAATCACTCAAAAGCAAACAGGGCTGTGGAGGTGCCAGCCTGCAAAACGTGTCTGGGCAGGGGTAAAGATTTACACAAAGTCAAATTAATTCAGTTTTTTAAAGACTTTTATTAACAAATCCTTCCCATTTTTCTCTATAGAGTAAAATCAATACAAGTGAAATACAGATGATCAATCAATACACGCTTACAGAACCAGGTGCATGACTGGAAAACAGAACAGCATTACTGTACTTTGACATGTCAACTTAGACCAAATGTGCACACTAGTAGCGTTGCAAATTGAGTAATGACATTTACTCAAATACCGTACTTGTACCCCTCACATCAACGGTCCACCCACACAGGTGTTGCTAAGTCAGACCTCGACTGAGGACCAAGTGTGTGCAGACTGATGGACATCTCTATCTTTCAGCCAGTTCTGCTGCACCCAACAGAGTGAGACAAATTATACATACTACACTTACTAGTACAGCAGAGGTCTAACCAGCCAGGCTAAATAAAAACACCTGTGTGGGCCGCAAGGTCTCGAAGCACAATTTTAAAAAGGTATTTTTGTTGTTCTATTTCCACATTATCTTCATCTGTACTCCTACACCACTAAAATTCAAATTTCACTTTTAACTCCACTGTATTTATTGGTCATGCAAGCCTGTAAGTTCTATGGAGTTGCGTCATTTGTTAGTAATCAGGGGAAAATGTATTTCCTTGAAAACCGGCTCCATTTAAACCCGAGTTTATATTGAATAATTACTTAAAAACATTGTTTGGTATACACGTTTAACTTTTTTGCATGGTCACCTGGCCTGCTATGTACAGACTAAAGGACAGTGTAGTATATAAGAATCAGACTGCATAGTGCTAGAAAATGAAAGTATTACCAACTGATTTGCCCGCTATTGTTACTACGGAACCAATAAGCATTTCTAATACAATGCACATGCATACACACACAAAAAACAAAATTAATCATCAGTTGTATGCTTAGACTGCAAAGTGCGTCTATAGAAAAGAAATGTATCCTTGGTTTGGACATCAGGGCTTGGTGGCGTGATGTTGTTCCACTAGTGTGTGCGTTGAAGGTGTTCTTAAATCCAACAGTATCATCATGTAGAAGAAAGCCGACGAGTTAACATACCATTAAATTAAACCAAGCAAAGAAATAAATAAATAAATACATGTAAAATAATTGATACATTGCAATTTCTGGGGAGGATGTTTGCAGAGAAAATGTGTAGTGTCAAGCCACTCCTCAGGGAAGGCAATAGACTGTATAGTTAGCTCCCAACAGGGCAAAATCACTACCCTACAACTATACAATCTACTACCTCACACTGTGTGAGCAGCCGGGATAAACATCTGACCCACACAAACACCGACGTCAGAAAACTGGCCTTCAGAAGACATGCAGGGTCGACTGAGACGTGTGTTCAGCACTTTGAGAAAGACAGTAGGTTGAATAGTTATCTCCCAGTGTGGGTGTGACCCTAAAACTATACAACCTACTACCTCATCCCACAGTGCAAACAAAGCCGTTTTCTGCAGTGAAAGAGAAGACGGAGTCCATCAGCAGACTTCTGACAGCACAGACATCGGACTGTGGAGAAAAAGTCACATGTGGTAGACGTTACATCAGTATATTACATTTGTGGCAGGTTCTCAACAAGTATGAACAACTCATCAGAGCCTGTGATAGGCCTTTTCCACCAACATGGAACCAGCTCCTTTCTGGTTCGAGAACCGAACTTTGAACTGTTTGGAGCATTTCAACCAAAAATTATTTGGTTCAGAACCCCAAAAGTTAGTTTCCACTGGAACAAAAAAATAGTCCTTGTGAACCAAAGTAGCCGTTTCACATTTTACAGGTAGCCTCCATTGTGCAACGTTCTACATCCTTGATTACAAAGGATCCGCTCAAAACTGGTGAAAACACACGCTGGTTCGCTAGATAGTAGCAAGGTTCCAGGAAACCTGAACAGGTTCTGTTCCAAAACCAGAGCCAATTTGGGGGAACAACACTATGAGAGCGCTGGATGTTGAATAGGGCTGAATGATTAATTCCATTTGCAATATTATCGCGATGTGATAAAACGCAATTACAGTCTGGTCACATGACGCCCAAGAGTAAAGCAGTCTGCAGACAAAGCATCAACTTTGCACGTTACGCGGTATCTTGACTTGTTGCACAGCGGCCTTAAGCTTGACAGAAACTGTAGTGTCACACAGGGAACGGAAATAGCACCCGCGGGTAACTTGGAGGTGGCGGGTGAAATCGTCAATGCTACCAGCATCAGAGGCTGCGGGGGAACTCCGGAGTTGTCGGAGGATTACTAAGCTTGTCTATTAAACACGAGGTGTCACTTGGTTTTATTTTCATTGGCCAACTTTTGAACTGAACCTCAAACTGAGTATTTTTTGTTTGCTTACTGGGATAGAGAAAGATGGACTCCTGGGAGATTTGAACAGAGATAAGGACGCATTAATTGGTGGTTGAACTGTGGGTTTTGTATTGAGCGCCTACTGTATAATACACTGTGGGGAACTGTGTTTACTTGTGGTCTGTAGTTTGGCCTACCTGATGATATTATTTAATGCCATGACTTGACTCAAATTGTCTCTCATTATTAAAATTTGATGCACCATAGCTCATGATAATAATTCATGCATCACCTAATTTCATCATAACACAGGCCTGACCCACAAGATACTATACACTGATTTATTGCTTGTCCGTTTTGAATAATACAGAAGGTAAAGAGCTTAAAAATTAAATCGCAATAATAAAATTAGTAAAAAAAAAAATTTTAAATTCCAATTACATTTTTCAAAATCGTTCAGCCCTACTCGGCAGTTTTATCCAGTCTCTCAACCGACAAAAAGCCATGTACATACATATAGACTACAAAACAAACACGATGGAGGCCAATCTGAGAAACAGTAGTTTTCATTTGAACTTCAGGACCATGGAAAGCTGCTGGCATCTCCGCACTATTGCGCTGCGAAATGCAATCCACATCTGAATGAAGCTTTTTATTTTATCTCACACCAATTATGACAAAAGATTAACCAACATAAATTCAAGTGTTTGATGAATTGTTAATTTAGCCTTCAATTGTGGCAACAAATTCACAGACCTGCCCTCACTTAACTCGTTTATATTGTGAATTTTATTTGGACTAAAGGATTCCTGCAGCAGGAATAACAAGGGCATCCACTGATGTCAGGACAATATTACTTTGTGAAATGTAAAAAGTATACTTATTAAGCTTTAGGGAAGACAAGCAATGGTGCGTTTTTTCCAATCAGGATTAAAGCCCCCCCAAGGAATTCTGTGTTTAGTCTAAGCAATGAGTCCAATTACAAACAAGCAATTTATAACAACATGATGGTGTATAGTAATGTGTTGATCCATTAGTTTAGCAGACTAATTGTTTCAGGCACAAATTACCAATCCATTTGCATGAAAAGTGAGTATCATCATAATGAGGACATGAAATTATAACTGTTACTTGAAGAGTGCAACAATCAGCCTATAACATTAAAACTGCTTCCAAGACTAACTCTTGACTCGAAACCAAATCAGACGGTCATTTCCAGCTGCCAACCTTCTCCACTGTGGTGTATTTTCTCTTGAAGCCCATCTACTCCCACATATCCTTTCCCCGCCAAGCAAACACGGACGTCAGCGTTACTCAGGGTCCATTTAAAAGGCACTGAAAATCACGATTCTGCTGCATGCCCAGTGTCTTCCCAGAGTAATAGGTGCAGCTGGTTTGCATGCAAGGCCACTCTGTTGTTCAGCTAAGGTTAATGTGACATGCCTTTAATTAAGAGGTTAACAATGGATATAAATTACGCGTTTCTGCCCAATACTGGGACCGGGACCAGGACCAGGACCGCACTACTTCAATATGCAGAGGAGGCTAGCACGCTTAGCTAACGTTAGTTCTAATAATGGCCAACGTGACAGGACATTTAGGAACTTGAACTTCTTACATGGATATTCCCACAGTTAGGAATCTCCTCCTAAAGGTAGCAATTAAAAGCATATCTAGTGCTCTACTCGCTGCACCGCACTCTGCTAGCTACGTCGGCTGAGCACTCCTTACAACTTGCTAGCTAACACTGTCGAGCTAACGACTAGCTAGCAGCACGTTCCAGCATGGTTGGACAGAAAAGCAAACGTCGGATAAAAGTACAGCAGTTGGCTCTTCCGCTTAAAAATCATACCAGGTGTTCTTTTAAACTGTTTTCAAAAAACGCACGTCGGGTATTGAGGTACATTTAATTAAAACTGTATCATTAATACAGTAACCCACCTGTCTGCCATGTCGAAACGCTCCTCCACCCTCTGACTTCTTCTTCGTGATTCTTCTTAGGCGCAGCTTACAACCACCTTAAAGGCGCCCAGCGTCCCCCTGCTGTTCGGTGTGTACACTACAGCAATAACGCTATTTACAATGTATGAATGAATGAATGAATAATTCATTCATAAATAAATGCATGTCGAATACACCCAGTGCACAGTACACCCACATTCATTTTAAAGTCACCTGCTTGATTTTGTGATTCGTTTTCCTTCTCAAAACGGAATAAAGTTTATCTCATTACATCCACCCTTTATTTGATATTTCCCGCAGTGAATGTCAGAATGTCAACTGACTTCTGCTTCAGTGTTTGTAAAAGGATGTTGGATTTTCTGTTCATTGTTAACTTAAATCAATTAGCATTGAAAATGCACTAATTGAAACACAAAGAAATGCTTATAATGCAAACACTTGAATGCAGTAGAGCAAGGAGAATGATATATTATCGACTGATATGAGCTTATCGCAAACAAAATGGTATCAGGATATGTTGGCTGAAGCCAGTACTGTTGGCCTTCCGGCTTCAGTAATACATTCATACCTAGTTGTGTTTGTGCATATGAATGTGTTTGTCAACATTTGTAAATAACATTGTTACTTCCCGCAGTTTCAATTGGCCAACCACCGCGGTTTGTATTTGGTATGTGAATATTATCATTAACATGATCATCAGCATTAATGGTCATCATAAATTATGACTGATATTTGCTAATTACTTAAGCACAGTTTCACATTTCTAAGACCCAACTCATGTTGAATTGACTTTTTCATGTCATACATTATCCCTTGCAGGATAATGCAACGTATTGCACGTCATTATGTAGTGTAAACACACACGTTTGAGATCCAATGGTGAATACCTTTTTGGAATGAAATGGGTTTGGATGTTACATCTCTGTGACAACACCAGGAGGCACACTTTGCTGTCATTCTAAATCCTCTGCTTATCTGCTGAAAAGCCTAAATCCATTAAAACAGTGACACAGCTCACATAGCTTGCAGTAAGTTTAATTCTGTAAGAAGCCTGTTGCAACAATGAAAAAATAGTGCTTGTTGAAAATTCCCCACAGTACAACGTCTCATGTCCTTCATATTATTATTATTATTATTATCGTCAATGTTCCACATTCAGTGTGTGTCAGCACATCTACATTACATTGGGTCCATATACGAGACATATGAAGTGAGCCTGACACACACACACACACACACACACACACACACGTTTAACACAGCAGCATGGTCAGTCCAGACAGAGGCCGTTTGAGTTGAGGCAGACAGCATTTTGCTAAATGCAATGGTGGAGGAACAGAACAGAACATTGAGGCTTTTGGTGTTAAGGACATAAAATTGATTGGAAAAGCAAATGAACTGTGGCCTGTCGAATTTGCATTGCCATAACAATAGCCACAGTTTGCATTTGACTCTAAGAAAACACCTTACATTCTATATCAACAAAGCAACCTTGCAACTTGTCTTTAGGTTATTAAACCAATTGTTGCATTTCAAATAAGATCTTAATAAATAAGACACATTGCAGCATTGCACAGTGTAAATTCATCTTTTGGTTTAAATAAGACCCTCCCCCCCTCCCCCCAACAGCTTTGACAGCTGAACTAACATTTAAATAACATTACTTTAACATCATGAGAATGTTTCTCAGTCATTTTTCTACTAACTAACAGTTAGCTAATAAAAACAACATCTAGTCCCTCACAAACATTACAGTAGAATATACAGATGACAAACAAATGCTTTCAAACTGAGCACAGTGGCACATTAACATACAGAATGGCAGTGCTTAGAGTCTATTAAGAGCTTCCAAGAAAATGAATTGCTAAACCTTCAAATATCCTGAAGACTGAAGACTGGCAGATCTCAGCATGCAAGGAACTGGCTTAAAATACAGTAATGCCCAAACATTAGAGTGGAACCCTGTTTGTGAGTCTTCCTCTTTCAGGCGAGTCCTGTTGAGGGCGGATCAGGAGTCCTCACTGTTCTCTGCAGCTTTGTCAAACAGCTCGTGAAGAATGGGACTCAGGATTGCTTTCAGTGTCGTGTACAAAGACTGGTTCTCCTCTGAGGCAGGGTCAATCTAGAGAGAACAGCAAAATCTAATCCATCCTTACAAAACACATTTTAATATATATTTTATATACACCTCATGTCACCTCAATACTCACCTTAGTGAACGCGTGTATTGTTTGATTGAGAAATCTATTCTCTTCTTCTTCAGGCATCGGCAGGAGATGAGCAGCACAGTCGAGGATACACAGCAAAGTGAGTCTATGGCCCTGTCAGTGGGAGGAAGAAGGAAAGGATACGAACATTTTCAGTCCCTTAAATTTTCATAAATCTTTTTTTAAAGCAATAATAGTATCACATAAGTCATATGAATAAAAGACAAGTTAAATAAAGCCAATGGCTTTAAACAACTTTTTATGTTTCTATTCTTGGAAAACGTGAGCTAAATAGTTCCCACCGGTATGTTAAATACTCTGGACAGTTTTATTAGGTCTTTCTCGAGTTTTAAAATGTGCAGTTTGTGCCATAATCAAGGTTTCCAGTGTTAAACAGTGTGTGTTATCACTGTAATCCTCAGCCAGCCAACACATCTACCTTTTCCAGTGAGTCGAGGGCGTTCTGTGGGTTTACATTCTTCTCACTGAGGGCTTTTATATCCTCACTGCTGATGATTGGATCCTTGAGCTGCTCCAGCCACGACCACATCAGACAGGACAGAACCAGAGGATCTCTCTCCATGCACAGCCTCTCCCACGCTCCCTCTCTGGAGTTCAGCTCTGTCTGCACGTCACAACAAAGAGCAGTGAGCTGAAAAGTGGCACTAGGCAAAAACACAGAATCAAGGATAATGGGACTAATGAAAATTAGCACAGTAGTCTGTTATAAATTCCGAAACTACACTAACATTTCATATCACCATTCACAGGGCAACAACGTAGCCCAAAGCTTATATTGTGTTTAATAAAAAAATGCTCTTGTCTGATAGACAATACAACTGTTGTTTTTATTGAATCGTAAATCTTCAGCCAAAAGAACATAGCCTACAGTAAAGGACAGAACATGACACAACTAGATACACAGGGGGATCACGTAACAAGCAACAAAGGCATTAAAGAAAAATAGTTAATTCTTTATACATTTTAACTGTATTAAATTATTCAGACTATATGCTTCAATATAATGTTTGATTTATTTTGAAATGTATTTGTGAATGTATATATATATTATATATAAGATAAAGAGGTTCAAATAGGCTTTTCTTTTACAATAAATATAAATCTTTTCATAAACAACATAATATTTTTTTTCGTAAATATCTAAAGTCATAGTCTAAAAGGAATATTCAACCTCTAACAAAAATAATTTGGTTCATAAAAAAACACAAAATAAATGACAAACACACTTTTCCTCAACATCAATCCTGAATCTTAATACAACTGCTGTTTATTTGATACACGTTCTAGCAGTGAGTGCAGCGGTTACATCACATCCTATTTACACTGGGGAGAGGGTAGTTCGTTCGAAAGTTGGCCCCTGTACGTGGGTTAGGGAGCTCCATTTGGCTGTGAGGGTGACTCTGAGCAGAGTTCACGCCGCGTCGGAATGGAAGTGGCGAGGGTCTAGTTTTGGAAAGCTCCCTACACTTCTGCTGCAAACACAGCGGCTTGCCCCGCCTATTCCTGTCTGTCTATCTGTCACTGCATACATACTGATCTGTGGATAAAAAAAGTTAAAAAAATATTCTGAACATTAGCTGAAGAGTCGGGCGAGCACCACATGGCTCATAAGTAAAATGAGTAAGCATCTCTTTTGCAGCTTTGCGGCAAGTCACACTGCAGTAATTAGAGTTAAGTCTTGCACTTTAAATGGGATGTGTGGCACTGGATGTTACAGGTGTGTCTGAAAGTAGTAGAGATGATGATTAGAGTTCTACTATATCTCATGCTGGCAGTACTGTCAGTGCCACAGTTTCTCATAACAGCACATTTCATTGCACATCCTCCGCATCTCCCTGGTGGTGCTCTGGGAGTGTCTGCTGGACAAACGCTGGACAAACACTGGACTTCATTTTCCAATTTAAATCTTTCTACAATCTGACATTGCAAATATCTATAAAGCTTCATCACTGAGTATGTTTACATGCACACAAGAAACCTGGTTACTGGTAGAAATCAGGTTGTACAACAAACTGGACAGTGTGTTCACAGACACTGTAGTAACCTGCTCCCTGTAAATCTGCATACATGCAGCAGGTCAGTAATATGAGTGCTCCCCTACCGCTGACTCTGTTTTGGAACAACTGCTGTCTTAAGCCCTTTTCAGACATAGAATATGTAACACTGCTGGCTGTATTAAACTTAACTTAAACTTAAATAATGGCCTTTCGGCAGTTTTTAGATCTCTGTTTACGCACCTGGGCAGAAGACAAAGCTGTGTCATTGCTTTGCTATGGCAACCGGCAGCGCTTGTAGAAGCAGCACCGGTAGCTCCTTCAAACTTCTCTACACTTTTGTTTTTATCTGTTTTTTCCAGCTTTATTGCCAAAACACCTCTGACATAGAGTCACTGGAAGATGAAGACGCGGTTTTTGGACAACGATCCACCTGGCCCAAACAACTGGACCAGGAGCCACAGCGGGTGCTGTGATCGCTTAGAGGAGAGGAAAGAGAGCCAGGAGAGGAGCCATGCTGGCCCAGCTTGGACTTAAAGATCCAATAAGGACAAAATGGGACTTATGTTGACCAGACAATGGAACTGGAGAACAGACTCTGTAGTTGGAGAACACAGTTTTTCCTTGCAGTAAAAATGTGTCGAAGTTTTACAAAAAACATCTGCTCAGAGATGGACTTATTTAGACTTCTGGAGGCTACGCCAGTGTCAGTTTGAGATGGAACTATTTCGAGTACGAAGACAAATTGTGTAATGATCTCTCATTTCCACTCTGCTGTCACAGCAATACTTTCTCTGAAACCCAGTTACATGTATGCATGGCCAGGGTACTGGTTCCTCCAGGAAAAATCTAGCTGGGAAAACTGGATTTCTTTTTCACCAACCCAATAACTGAAACTGAGTTTCTTGTTTATGACACTGGAGCCGAGCGACAGATGACAAGATTCATTACCACAGTGATGTCTGTCCATCATATAGTATAAAGTAAGAACCGGTAGCTGATTAGCTTAGCATAAAGACTGCTACTGGCACATCTTGGCTACATGGCCTACCTGCCAGATTGAGACCTTGGAGGTGAGATCCTCATCTGTCAGGCCCCTGGCCAGAGCTTTGGCCACCAGTAGGCTTCTGCTCTCTGGTGAGAGCTCAGGCGTGAGGGGGATGAAGGGAACCTCTGCATCATTCTCTCTGTCTGCTCCACCTGCCCCACCTAGCTGCTCCTCACTGGCTACAGGTTTGCTCTTGGTTGATAAGACGCTGCAGTGGGATTTTCTTCCCTGCTCGGACAGATCTAAAGACAAATTCTGACGCCCTTTGTGTAGCTGCTTTTTTAAAAGAGGGGATCCAGTGTCTTGCTTTGCTTCTGTAATGGGGTCCTGTATTCTGCTGATAATGCCCTGAGGAGAGGGGTCACAACATCTGGGAGGGTTACAGGCTATAAGGCTGCTGTGAGACAAGGAATGTTTGACAAGGCAGTTGCCTGGTTTGTTGCTCTTCAGTTTTCCTAAATGGTGCTGGCGCGGTCCAAGTTTGTGAAGGACAGAATCACTGTAACTGAGGCTCCTGCTGTTGGACAAAGAGGATCTCAGAGGACTTTCTACATTCTGCTGCCTCCAAAGAGGGTCCAGCTCATTATCACTGGCAAGAGGTTGATCACGAGGAGGTCTGGACTGCAGAGCAGGTGGGCTGAGATGATGAGATGAACAAGGTGGAACAGGAATCCCCTTCCCTCTCATCTCCTTCCCGAGCTGCTGAAGGGCCTGCTGGGACACAGTCTTCTCCACCTCGGCTGTGAGGTCAGGGATCTCCAGCCACTCCTCCTCGATCACCACCTCTCGGTTGGCTGCAATGTCGACAAGGAGCCTGCACACCAGCTGGACGATCTTTGGCACGTTCTTCATCTGTCGTGCCTCGTAGCCGTGCAGCAGGTGGCGCTGCCGGGTAAGGTACTGCGACAGGGTGACGGCACTCGCTTTAGGTTCTGCACAGGAGAAGACGCTTCGGAGAGGAACCAGGAACTGGGCAAACTCCCTGACACACAGCAGCTGGCCTCTGGTCTGAATGGAGTTGGGTCTCTTGGCTCGCACAAAAAGGATGGCTTGGTCAGCGCTCATCCGGGACGTGAAAACCAAGTAACAAGCGAACAACACACCTACACAATGAAAGATTTAAACAAAATAAGAAACTTAGATTTTTCAAGAATAAGTGATTTAAGCAATTCCATGTTACAAACCTGTCCTTCCAAGACCAGCATGGCAGTGGACGGCCAGTTTACCCTCTTGGACAGCAAAAGACATGACTTTCACCATGTCAAGGATTGTAGTCAGAGATGCCACACCATAATCCTTCCACCCAAAGTTGTAGTAATAAACTGAAATACACAAATCCAGAAGAACTCTTAGAAGAAGAATTTTAAAGTAATCTTTAACTTTAAAAATGCAAGTTAGACCGTGTTTGTTTACAAATTGTGAAGAGTGCAGTTATAGAAATTATAATTAGGAAAACACAGAAATAGTAGTGTCCTATAGTAGTGAGTTTGTGGATTTTGAATCTATTTGTATATCGTGTTTACAAATTCTGTGCATTTCCAATGATATTTACACGGATGTACCCCCCTGGTATCTTAGCAGTCTACATGAGAGTGAGTAGCAACAGCAGGTATTAGATGAGAGGCTAAGGTAGATTTGACATTTTTTGTTTTTTTGTGTTTACTCCTACATTTGGAAAGTTATATGGTGCTTAGTAACCACGTAATTACCGAGGGAGCTCACATAATGTTGTCTTTGAAAGTAGGCAATCTTGGTTCCTCTTCTTAACAAGCTCTCTGGAGATCTTTACCCAAGCTACCTCATCAAAGCATCAGCTGCATTTTGAATAGTGCTGTCTTTCATTTGACACACAGTAAAAAGCCTCCAGCATAAACACTGGCTGTTGTTTTGCTCTAGCTTTTGCACACTCAAATCTAGACATTTAATGAACAAACTACTCTATTCGGCCCCTTTCAGACATGAACCTCTTTATCTGAAGGTGATGGCAATTGAGCTAAGCACCAACCTTTATGTGAAAGTCACATAAACTAGGTCAGATCTGTAATATTTCCACTCTCAGCATGGTACAAGTCAGGTTAATGTTAAGGCTACAGCAGCACTTCATTCCAACACAATACATTTATTATCCTATATCTTTATTCTAATCGACAAAGAAAAGAAAATAATTTTAATAAATCAGGAAACACTGTGAACAAGCTAATTCTAAGTTGTTGAGGAGCTTCTTCTCATATCAGTCGATTTAAAAACTATATAAGCTCAGCATTCAAGTGTCAAATCTGGGTTTGCGGATCACAGTGTAGGCTATTTGCGGATCGCTTGCCGTTTGTCTACAACTCATTTTGAACGTGGTTTACCATAGGGAGTGTGACTACGATCCAAAAATGTAGTCAGCCAGGCGTATTGGTCCTATGTGATGACACATAGGACCAATGTGATGACTTAATAAGCCTTTCACAATAAGAGCTGAGAGGTTTTGAATGTGTACATCATTTACTCTGCATCTAATAATCCTGTGTGGAATTAACTAAAAGTATTTGCTTTATACTGTTTAGAGGGAGAAATAGCGAATCTATGCCACCTAAGGGACATTACTGGACATGTTTATCTATTTTGCCATACCACTAGCTGGTTAGTTGAACCATATTATTGTGCTACAGACTGAACTTTAATTTAACAATACCTAAGGAATAAGACTGCAGCATTATTCTGGGTCTCTGTAGTCAGAGTAAGTAAAAAAATGATGATGCTGGTTCATTATGACTGTTAAATGCAGTTTATACCATAATTAGACTTTATTTTGACCCTTGTATGAGTCTTGGAAAGATCAGATAGCTATTCAGTCCAAAACTGAGTATAAATTTATCAACGAAGCATTCAAGACAGACTGAAATCTGACTGCCACGCATTTTAGCCAGATGCTGAAAAGGTGTAAATGCATGAGTCTTTGTTTCCTCTGCAGTATAATCAGTGATCATAAAAACAGTGACTACATCTTTGAGCATACTGTGGAAACAACCATTCTTACGGTCTCTCCCATGTGATGTGAAACTAAAATTAGCACTGCTTCTTCAGTCTTGCTCATCGACCATAAATAATTCCTCCATGTGTTTGTGTTAGTATATGGATCGTGAATAGCAAGCTAGAAGTTTTTGCTAAGTCTTAAAGGTGTCGTAGAGTGGAAATAGTTGGCATAGTTGAATAAAAACAGTTCAGTGCATGTAACTGAAATACCGTGAGCCTCAATCTCCTTTGTTTCATCTTACATATGTAAATCTCGCACAACCCACAAGATGTTAGATGCTCATCTAGATGTTATGTTACATCTGGGATGTTTACGCCTCCAAAGTTACATAGAGCAGCCCACGTTCCAGACTTAGCGGTCATACCAGTAGGGCTGCTCCATTATGGCAAAAATTATAATCACGATTATTTTGGTCATAACTGAAATCACGATTATTAACACGATTACTGATTGACTTAGGAATCACCACGGATCTATTGAACTTTTAAAATTGAATGCTTCATTTTTTTAAATAGATTATGTGTTATTCAATAGTAATCAAATACGATCAGAGCAGGTGACAACTTGTTATGTTACAACGCTGAAATTCAACAGGGGTGAAAACCAACGGTGAGAAAAGTGTAATTCCTGTAATACAAGCGGGGACACGTTGAATATTTTACAAGCACGGACCATGTAAAGCAAGGCTTAACACAGGTTTAGTATAAGAATAAATACTATGTAAATTGTAATGCTGTGAATAGAGGAAAAGTTCGCTAGCCCCTAGGCTAATTTATGCAGTCTAAAATGCCGTAGGGTTAAGCTAATAATGGTGACTAGCAAGTTGTAGCAGTTATTTCCCCGTCATGCTTGCTGGAGCTGAATTCGGGCCTTTAAGGAGGAGCAGGCCCACATCTTCAAGTGGGCCCGGGCAGTACGCTTAATGTGGGGGAAAATGTAGTTTTGTTTTCTTCCATCACTTACCTACTGTGTAAGTGAGACTACGACTACATATGTTTATTGGTTTGTGTCCTGATTTTAGGGAATCTCCACAATTGGTTTGAGTGGATATAGAGACTCACTTCCTGCCTCCATGAACGTTTCAGGTCGATAAGTGAAACCGCTCTCCTGCTCCAGTGGGTTGCCACAGCTGGCATGTTCTCCGGGCCGCTGCAGGTTAATGACTGTCTTTAAACCACACCTGTCACAGTAGGTTCAGTGTCAGTGTACAAAGCAATCCACACAGTCAACACAACACATTCAATTCATTACATCATCAACTGTTGGGCTTCTGTAAATAGCATCATAGAGTACAGTCTAGACCTGCTCTTTTATGAAAAGTGCTGTGAGATAACTGTTGTTGTGATTTGGCGCTATATAAATACAATTGAATTGAATCATTCTTGTTAATGTAACAAAGTCCTTTGTTGTATTTATTGCTTTAAAATTACTAAAAATGTGTAATTTTACTTTTACGCAAGTCATTTTTATCTTACTTCTCTACAGTTCAAGTCGCACCAGCAAGTAAAAACAAAAATCACATGATAAAGTCCTGATAAAGTGAGTGAAAATGGAACTGGAAGGAAAACTGATAAATCAGCATCTGCAGCAGAAGAAGCTGCTGGTGTGTCTGTGACAGAGTGGACTGGTCACATTATACACTGAGAATGAACAAGCAGAGCAGTCCGTGGAGGACTTGACAGTGCATAAGACTGACAGAATGACGTTCAGATAGGTGAGTACAACAACTTAATGTGATGGTTCCAACTCGCTGTACAGAGAAGAATGTCAATCTCTCTCTTTTTGCTTTAAGGCTAAAACATCTGAATTTTATGCACTGGCCAATTTTGAGATTTTGGGCTATTTTGCTTGAATAACATGTCTTCTTTCAGAAACAAAAACACATTTGTCTATTTGCATACAGTAGACTTCTCCTAAATTCACTAAAAGTTAGCATTACACAATGTCTCATCAGGATATTTAAAGATAACATTTCAGAACACTACCAAAACAATTGTCTTAATATACTGTAAGTAATCAACAGGGGACGTTTCATGGTGAAATATTTGTTTATTAGTTGTGTTTTACACTGTTGACCTACATTGTCTTGCAAAAGATGTGGAATTTTACAGTGCACATCTTTTGCTGTTTTCTCAAAATGAGTGAGAAAACACCACTCCAATAGTAGTTGCATACATCAAACTTTCCAGTTTTATTCATATCTATATTCTGAAGGTTTTACAGAGGCGTTTTTTCATCAAATAACATGACAAAACTTTTTTATGGCTGTAATTTCTGATTTGTGAAGTGATAAAAACAGATCTCCATAATTCCTTCTGCAAAAACCTTTGACTCTAATATGTCAACAAAATGAAACAAGAATTCTGAACCTGGCTTCATCTATGGAGTTATCTACTATCTACTATCTTCTTACCTATTGACCTCTAGCGTACAGCCTTAATGTGTGTTTGTGGCTGCAGCTGCTGTAAAGTTTCTATCATTTATTATACATCTGTGTAGTCTGCCATGGTCATGTTTTATTCTGCTGTTAATTTGTAGTAAGAAGTGGCAGGTTATTTCATCTCTGTAGCCTGATAATGCTTGTTGCACCTGTTGCGACATCTAAATCTCTTTTTAGCGCATAAAGAACAACATCCCAGCCAGCCTGGACCCTCACCAGTTTGCTTTCAGAACCAACAGATCCACAGAGGATGCCATCTCCACTGCCCTGCGTCCTGCTTATTTATTGTTGGTAATTTTTGTTTAGTTTAATTGCGTTTTCACTCTTTTCTGGTTAATTCTAGCAAGGATACACTGAGGAAGGTGATTGTGTAATTGATAATCACTTGTATGTGCAGGCTGTAAAGTGCCATCTAGAGAAAAGGAAGGGTGTGTATAAGTTGATGTGGAAATGAATCTTATTTTGCATACTATATTCTTTAATTCAAGAGGTCTATCATTTACCATCATCATTTTTCTTTCACTGCAGGTGAACAAACACAGATGGACCAAACCATTTAACAACCAAACACTGTTAATCTAAATGTTAATAAAGAATCAAATAATAATAATGAAAATAAGATGTAAAAGAAGGAGACTACTGTACCTTTGAAATTGTTCAATTATATTATATTTCTCTATTATTTCAGAAGAAGGCCTTGCCATAGCTAGCAAGTTGTCAGTGATCCTGTAAGTGGAGAATATGACAATTAGGGGGATATATGGTTTACACAATATAAAAAAATAAATAATAATATACTGTTTAGCAAGATAAAAACAAGATAACAAAGACCCTATAAAGGTTGAGTGTGTAACATTTAGTGGCACCTAGCAGTGAGGTTGCGAAATGCAACCAACTGACTAGACTATCGGCCCCCCCAATCACCTTTCAAAGAGTGTAGGACAGCTTTAGGTAGATATATTAAGAAATTATATTTACTTAATTATTCTGTAAAACCTTATGTTATTGTGACTTGGCCACTGACAGATAACATAGAAAATGTGAGCCAAGAGTGTGAAACACTGTCACTGTTTCTGCACCACAGTCCATTAGAAACCATAGAATAGATAAAGTTTATACAAACATTGACAAGTGAACATTCACATTCATTCTCTCTGTGATTATGGACCCTTGCCAAAACTGCCCGCCAACAATAATTTCTGGGCTGCAGCCAGATCATGGTGCTTTGATAGCGGCAAAAAATAAATAAAGCAATGCTTTATTTCCAGTTGAACTGAGAGCTTTTACTTAAAGAGTCTGTAGCCTGCTTGACACACCTCTGAAAGAGCCGTCAGAAAATGTGATTCCCCTAAATGTCCTCTGCCTGGAGATACTGGGGAAATGAAAAGGCAACCGTAGGTTGATGGATGCAGATCAAACACAAACACTGAAGCACATGCTTTATTGTCAGCATTCATGTCACTTCACAGTCGCTTCATGATCAATTTGTTGAAAAGGGAAAAAACATTCTCCAGATATGGGATCGAACACACAACCTTCTAGGTGAGAGACTTGCACTATACCAACTGAACTAACCAAACACTGTTTTATCTAGTCTAAATATTATGTCTTATGTTCTCATCTAATGGATAAACGGTTAAAAATTATAATGCAGATCCCGCAGTAGCGCTGATAAGATGGAGTCAACAAACGTTTCTCTCTCTCCCTCTCTCTCCTTCACCCCCAACCGGTTGAGGCAGATGGCCGCCCACCCTCAGTCATGTTTCTGCTCGAGGTTTCTGCCTCTTAAAAGGAAGTTTTTCCTTGCCTCTGTCGCCTAGTGCTGCTCTTGGTGGGAACTGTTGGGCTTCTGTAAATAGCATCATAGAGTACGGTCTAGACCTGCTCTTTATGAAAAGCGCTCAGAGATAACTGTTGTTGTGATCTGGCGCTATATAAATAAAATTGAATTGAATTGAATTGAATTGAACAAACGAAGTTGAAAAGAGAGTGTATGTAGCTGCTGCCAAGAACATACATGCCTGACTCAAACCGGCAACCTCAGGTACGGGAGGCGGACACGCTGACGAGGCTAAATCCCATGGGCACTAGCGTTGGTCGCCAGTGCGTCTCTTAAGCTGTCGGGGAGTGAAGTTTACTCACTGCACAGCCTCGCTGGCTTCTGTCACATGATCATTTACAATACAAGACCAAAGCAAGGCAAGTCTGAAATTTGGAAAACTTCTCAGTTGTTACAGACAAAAATGAATGCAATGATTTATGTCGGTTATTCTGAACGTTTAGCCCAAACATTTGTGTCCTTTTTTTACTCTGCATGTCACAATGTTTGCGGGTACGGGCGGGAATGGATACACATGTTACGGGAATGGGCGGTAATGGTCACAAAATCAGTGGGAGCGGGATCAAGACCGCGCAGGTCTCTACTCTGTAGCGCTATTTGTCCCTTTTGGGCTACTGTAGAAACATTGCGGCACAACATGGCAATGTCTACGCAAGGGGGGACCTGCGGTTAGGTAGGTAGAAATGTCTCATTCTAAGGTAATAAAAACATAACAGTTCATTATGTAAGGTCTTTATACACCACTGAAAACATAGTTATGGATCTTATATTGCATTTCTGTCAACAGGTCCTCAGAAAAGCAAAGCAAAAACCAGGACAAATGTATTGACTTTTCATGTAAGTATTGATCTGGACTTCAGTGGCCCGCGGTGACCAAGTACAGCACTCATTCAAGTGTTGGCTGAGAGGAAATTACACGAACACTGAAGGCTGTATGAAAGTAGTAAGGTAAGACTAGCCAACATACCAGGACGAGTAAAGACCTTTGATGGCTTGCTCCTCATCACTCCAGCGAGAGGGGTTCTCATATTTACAGGCTTTCCCTCCACAGGCCATGGAGCACTGCATGTGACCTGGGATGACATGCCTCAGGGTCTCCCCCATCTTGGTGTACTTTGCTGTAGGGACCCTAGCATTGGCTGGGGAGAAAAACAAAAACAAAAACAAAGAAATTTAAGAACAATTTGACAGTACTCAACAGTGCTTAGTGCATGCTTTCCTTGTAGCTGAAATCCCAAAATGCAAAACACTAGTTCTTCGGTGTGGTTACATCTCCTGGTCTTGCATTCAGTGGGAAGCTGAGGCTGGTTCACGCTGACGGCCACCATGACTCTGTGGGAGGAGGAGGATAGGGTCTCCAGGGGAGAGCTGCGTCTGCGCTGCAGGACATTTTGCAGGATGTCTGAGGCTGAGTGCCTGCGGTTGTGCCTCCTCCCTCTGCCCTTCATCTCCCTGGCTAAGGAGTGCGTCCCCGGTGCAATGCTGGTGTCTGTGCTGCTGCTGCCTGTGCTGTTGGTTTTATGGCTGGTTGTGCTGTGACTGCTGGTTTTGCTGTCTGTGCTGCTGCTGCCTGCATGGTGAGCGTCTCTGGACTGATAAAGGCTCCTGGCTCAACAGCTCTGTGCTCATGATGAATCATCACAACAATCAATTGTATATAATACAGTACAACCTACCAGTTCGTCAGCAGCATTTGATGTGTCACCATGACAACCATCTCCAAAGTCGTCAGTAGGAGGTAAATGGGGGCGATAGTTACACACAAATAACACACACAGACAGACACAACGAACAGATCTGAGGCAGGTGGCTTGCAAATCAAAGAGGAAAATGCTGTTTGCGTCCTTAAAAGGACATACATATATGGTGGTGTACATCCCTAAATACACAGCATGTACTAGTGTTAACAATAAAACACCTGTACCTCTTTTAATTAATCAGCCAAAATGCACAGCGGTGTAATATCTGACTGAATAAGACTATGAATTATGTATATATAAAACATTTTTTAAAGTATATGGTATAAAGTGTATAAATCTTGTTCTCCAGACGTAAGAACAAATGTTTGTTTGGTGCAAACCCTAACAAACATCACATCAGAATTGTAATAGTAGTTTTTTCCAGTGAAAAGAAAAAAATGATCCATCCCACTAACTGTGAATCGTAATATCTGCCAAAACAATCACAATATGATTTCTTTATTATATCATGCAGCCCTAGCTTGGGACCACATGTATTTTGAAATAATAGCTACTACTAATATTAAGAATTATGGTTATGTTCATAAATAGGTTTTTGTATCCTTAAAAATCAATAACAGAAGAGTTGTAACAATGGGAGAACTGACATATCGCTTGAAGCCTGCTCAACAATTCAGTAGCCAGTCCACAGTCAAACTGAAGCCAAAAGGTCAAATGAGACTGCTGGCTCATTAAGCCTCTCAGTGTGTGGGAGCAGCAGGCAGACTGACAAACAGCAAAGATGAGTGAGGGCTGCAGCTACAGAAAGAATTACACAAAATGGCCACCAATAGAGTATGCTGGAAATGAGCAGGTTTCAGTTGAACTGGCTTTAAATTGTTCTTCTAAAATAAAGATTGAAACCTTTTAAAAAGCTACCTATACTATATATTTAAGAAATGAAAAATATTAGTTGAAAATAGCTGACAAATTATCCCAGATAAATCTTAGTCTAAATTTTGTACTGAAGTCTCAAAAATAGTGGCTAACAACATGTATGCTACAGTATGTTTAAAAAAAAAAAAAAGAAATTGTATCATGTAATGGGGTCTGAAACACTTTATTCATTTATTTTAGGCTATAAACAATTGTAATAATCACTTTTAATAAATAATTTTACTGTTACAGAGTTTTAGGTTGTTGATACTTAGCCTATATAGTATCAGGCAATTATAACAGATTTATTGTGTTGTTGTTTTTTTTCATCCATTAAACTATTAAAAATACATTTTAAAGATGGTCAACACAGGGGATTGGACAGATTGTCAGAGTTTCATCTTTTCCTGGTGGCAGATGGTATAAGAATGAGATATGGAATAAGTCTTTCTATAAACCACTTTCGTTCCGAGTGCATACTAAACAAATTATTGAAAAGATATGAACAAATGCAAAAAATACACTTGCCTCATAAACACCTATCATGGTAGCAAATACTGACGTTTTTGTCTTTTTATACACAACATACTGTTCTGTGGCCATCTTATCTTCCACAGCAATGATACCAGATGTCTTATTTATGAAACACTAATAACTATCAATACTTAAAAGATACAGGTGTTTATCTTTATTAATGAAAATGGAGTGGATAGGTGCTGTAAACCATCAGCTTTAGTTATCATTATATATTTAAGCACCACTCTTGTCAGGTAATAGACCTGCTGACACCTTCATCAAGTCTGAAGTATACTCTGTCCATCTTGTGCATCAGTTTTGATGCTAAAGCATCTTCTAATTAGGTTATACTTAAAGTAATTTATCTTCACTGAATCAAATAGTTTCAAGATCACAGTCCTGTGCTGTTGCTTTGCTAAAAAGAAAAATATCCAGAAGCTTTTCTTGTGCTGCAGAGCTCTCTTACCTGTCTCCATCTCTGTGCTGATCGCTCCACTGATGGAGTAAGGCAGGTCACTCAGTACGCTGACACCAGCTGCCATGGCAGGGGCTAGAAGGTGTGAATAAACATTGTGTCTCAAAGGCAGATGAAAAAAAACAGGAAATAAAAAGCATCTTACAAGCAGAAGCCTTGGTTGTGCTGATAACACAAACAGTCACAAAGGTGTGCACACAAATGGGATATGTGGAGCATGAGCAGCGTTGCCTGGCAAAATAACCCAAGGGAGAGAGGGAAATGTGCAAACTGAGCCACGATGTCAGCAGCTCATGTATCAGTCTGACCACTGCACCTCTGGGAGCAGGTGGGCGTGGCCTGGGGACAACAGTGGGGGCTAGGAGGACTCAGACGCACCCACACAGGCCAAACAGAGAGGCTTCAAGACGAGCATGCGGTGAATGGCATCACCACATGCAGCTAAAACTCCATCTCAGTATGTTTTGAGCTGCAACCAGTCAGAATCTTTTGAAGTGCATGTGAGAGGCAAATGCCTCCTATTTTATTGGGCTTATGCCACAATTATTAATTATTCAAGCAAACACATCCACCTGCATTTGTGTAGATTCAGAGCAATACTTCTTGACCTCTGATTTATGTAGCCTGTTATCAGATTTGTAGCACACTGATCTCCCGGCTGTAATGGGCCTTGTCACTTGTGCTAACTGGTGCTGCAGGAGGTAAACTGCACCTTTACAGCTCTCTGCCTCACTGGCCCATTAACAATTGAACAGGGTCACTGTACTCCACATGCTAACGTTTTGATGGACAAACGATTCCTTGACCTTTGCTTTTCTCTTGCTGTTTTATAAATTTTAATAAATTCAATTAGGATGGCTTAATCTAAGAGCAAGACGTCTGAGGTATAGTTTGACTTTTTTACTATAAAATTGCCTCTTAAACTGATAGTATAACCAACTAACCAAAAACTGTTTAGATTTTTAAACCTTTGGTTTTCCCTATTCTTCATATTCCCATGCCCTCCTTTGGAAACCAAACAATTGTCACGCCTCTGCACTCCAGGAGTCCTCCACCCATTTTGGGAACCACTAGCTTAAAGCAATATCTTGCCCAAAATTGCAATTTCCCCTTGATTTGAAAGGAAAATCAAGGTGAAGCTCTGACCCTGTAAAAAATTAAATATACAATCACCATGAGTCCTAAGAAGTCACTGACACATACTCTATTTTATCAAATTTGCAAACCAAACATTTTCATAAGATAGCTATCATATTCACCCCAAAGCCATATAACACACTGTGCTTTGAATTTAACACAATACATTTAGTTAATATCTGTTATCAGCTTCTGTAGACTGAGGAGGCAGAAACACATTTTTGACATGACGGGTATGATATTAAATGCTGTTACATAAAAAGTACTTGGTTGTTTGCACTAGGGCTGACCCAAAAATTAATCGTTGGTCAAAGTCAAAAGACCGAATGAATTTTACCGACCAATTGCGTTGACATGTCAGCAGTGGGGAAGCACTGGAAAGACACAAAAAATCACCGTTTGCAGATACTGTTCTGCTGATCTGTGTCCGAGCACATCCACTCCATCTGTGGCTGACTTCTTAGAAAAGACAACAAACGGTCTGACCCGCTTTGAGTGTTTCTGTCACTTTTTTCTGAGAAGGCGATTAAGCTAGCCGGACCTAAATTTGGAGTGCACACATATTAAAGCCTTTATGGTAAATCAACTGAAACGTACCACTGTGAGCTGACAGGCAGGTTAGCGACTTTATCCTGTCAGTTTCTCTCTTTACAAACTGTTGCAGCATGAGAGTCCTACCTGAGGAGAGGCTGTCAAGTCTTCATGTTACGCAATACGAGAACCACATACAACATTATTTATCAAATTGGGTTGGACTTGAATTTAGTGCGAGGATACACATGTGACGTCTGGTTTTCAAAATAAGGCATCTAAACAGGATGGAAATAAGATTAATTGGATTATATTCACAGAAAGTATAAAACATATTACACGTGTCCATTAAAAGTAATTGGACACATGTAATTTACTTTACCGGACCCTCTCAGGCCCCGGACCCCCCCCACCATAGTCTCTCCAAATCCTGTGGGAACGCTGAGCAAAAAACACATTTTGACTATTTAATTTATGCAATGGTCAAAAAAAGCAAAATAAATGGAAAAAATGTGAATGAACTTGTTCGGTATTCTGCAAAATTTTTCATTATATTCGGTTTCGGCCAAGAATTTTCATTTCGGTGCATCCCTAGTTTGCACATATATTTCTTTATTACAATAAATGATTACATTAGTGTAACACAAAGTATTGTGGCCAGCAATTCTGAAACAAGTACAAATTTTATTTTAATAGGCCCTTTTCCCAGCAGACATTTTGACTAGGAGAAGCACAGGTGTTACTAACATTAACAATAGCTCGATTCTGTTCAAGTGTCCTAGTAAGTCATGACAGCGTGACAGTGAACCAGCAGAAATAATACCAGGACAGCCGAAGCAGCTAAATGGAATTAAGCCATCATTCATATTTTCGCATGTTGCTTTTCCTACTGTGACATGTCTGTGAAAAAGGAAAAGGGACAAAGGCACAGAGGTCCACAACAATGTTTCTGACTGATTTTGATTTTGAACCTTTTATTAATTTTTACAATAAATGTAGTACTATGTACTACTATGAAAATCAACAAATCAGTGTTGAAAGTTTACTCTCAACTTTAAAGTAAACTAATATACTGTATAACAAATTTAGAAAACATGTACTCAACATTACATTCAATTATTTACAAATTTTATTTTTCTTTAAAATCCCATTATATTTACTAGCAACGTAAGTCACATTATGTAGTCCTGACAGGAGGTCTAACCAGCCACAAGTTAAGACACCCGTGCATCTGCGGTGTTCAGTGTGTAATGTTTTAACCTGAGGCCTTCCAGTTTTTTTCAGATTTTTCTGTTTGAAGTATGAATAGTTAATGCCAGGACAGAAGTTTCTATTAAATGCCAACATCTGAAAATTTGATTTGTATATTTAAGCAGATTGCTTTATCTGCTAATCATAGCAATGAAAAGCATCTTCTACAACTTCAGAGACAGGTCACATTTAGGTCACAGTGCTACTCCTGTTAAGAGTAAAGCTCCTGTAGTCAATGAATAATTGATGGTGTAAAGTTAGAGCCTGTCTTTTTCCATCCACAACTGTTTTAGACTTCTTTTACGCTGTAATCCACACGTCTCGTTACAAACTGATATGGCACCAAAATCCAGTGTGACACTGGTTGAAGTGTTTCCAACATTAGTGCCGGAAAGAAGACTATCCAATCACTTCAGCAGCCTGTCCTGCTGGAGCCTGACACCACTTGGCTTTGTTTATAGGAAGCTCTTGATAACGAGCTGGTGAATGAGAAGGTGTTCTTCATGACAAATGTGACGTATGTGCATCAAATATTAACAATTATATGAAACTCAGCTAATATAGTCACCACAAAGAAATCTTTTCACTCCATCAAGAACAAATTGACCAAAACGCTTCACACATTTGTGGCGGATCCATAAGCTCGTGTCCACTGGGAAGCCAGTGTGTGAGATATCCTTCAGAGGCGCTGCTAATGAGCGTGGGATGTGAGAGTCATTTCTACTGAGTGTGCTAATAAAGAAATATGTCAGGCGAGATGGCACTCATGATGGAATATATAAACTCCCACTCCAAACTCAGACACGTGCAGACATGAGTACTGCTGGCATTTATGTTTGGCTAATGGGCTAGTTCATTGTTCTCACCTGGCATCCCAGGTGTCAGCCACTAATTAAAATGCTAAAATGAAAACAGCATGCCCAAAGTCACTTCCCATCCCCACCTGGTAGCATCGTATGTCACACAAGTAGCCACCACGACAAGGAATTTTGACAAAATGTAGCCAACTGAAGAGAACTAAGTAATATTTAGACAAATACATGAGCTTCAGTTTACAGGAAGGCAACGGCGCACAGAGGGTCCTGGTTACAGACCAGTAACAGGTGTTCTCTTTATTGGGGAAGAGACGTCATACCTGTGCTTTTCTTACAGGGTCTGCAACGACCAGCTTCGATCAATTCTCGTTCAAGCAGACACAACACTGTCTCTAAACATCTTAAATAATAGTATTAGAACCATTTGAAAGCACGAAAGCCGTCTGAATACTGCCACCACATATCACCTTCTCTGACTTGAGGTGAAACCCTGATGGCCACCTTTGTGTTAGGATACACTCGCCTGACTCTGGCGGTGTGTACAGAGTAACGTTAGCAGCGAGGTGGCTGATAAGGATGCTGACATAGGTTGCCCAGCTCTGACTTCCTATCACCATGTGGCGGCGGACACAAATCCACGTTTGGACACTTCGGCTAACCATCAGCTGATTGTCTTGCTAGCTGCAGTAACGTCAGCTCTCTTAATAACGGCGCTTAACAATAGGTCATATGTTAAGTTGGATGTACGTTTGAAAGTCACAACGCTTCTTTTGGCACGGAAAGATTATTGTTAAGTTAACCTATTGAGTGTAACGCTGGCCCCAGAGGAGTGTGTGGTGCTGATGCTGCAAGCTGGAGACTTGCTTAACGCGAGCTAATTACCGTTAGCTTGCTGTACTGCATTAGCTGAAGCTAGTGGGTAGAGAAGGCCTATGTTAACTTACCGTTTTCCTGTCGTCTGAGGTTGTCGTTAGAATATCTAACATAGTCTATTCACTGCTTTAAGCCATTGTTGCTTTATCGCCAGCACGAAGCAAACCGGAGCTTTCTTCTGGCCACATCATTTGGTCTGCTAAGTACAGCTAGCTTACTAGCTAACTTAGCAACCTGACATGTTGTCATGTAGAACGGCCCAGTCAGATCACGTGACCACAGACAGACCTCTGTTAGCATTTAATTGTTGTATGGTGGTAGCTAGTATATATTAATGTTCATTTGTTTACGAAAAATACTGAATGTTTTGTATGAATT